GAATTACCTGACACTTTATTTTTTGGTTGTAATGTTTCCATCATGTTTCGCTTCTGTTGGCTGTTTTCTTTTTTTTCTTTTAGTTTTCAGCTTCCATATTCTTGGCTAAACAAACTGCTCTTGTATTTGATAATTGCAACAGAAGACAGTAACTGATTTAGAGGGTTTACTGTACTTCTTACAGCACTGTAAATCACCAGGAGAAAGGCTAACAATGAAACACTAGTAAATGAGATCATTGACCAGTCTAAATAGTGTAGCTGTAATAAGTACCCCTAAATCATATTAAATTCAATCACTAGCTGAGGATTTTCTCAGTGAGGCTAAAGGATTTGCAGATGTTGGCACCAGTATTTCTTATACTGATCGACTGTATTTGAGGCAGTGCAGAATGGCCAGAGGGAAGGAAAGAAAGCATGGGTTTAACTCCTTTCATACAAAAGGTGGATCTCAGCATGGAGACCTGAGCTCACGCAGATTACTCTTTTCAAAGGTAACACAAAGAGCTTGCCAAACTCCTAGCCCTGTGCAATATGGCAAAAACCCCACAATTTGTGCATGCCTGTCATGCAAACTGCCAACATCACCAAAGCATTAGTGGAAAAAGAAAACAAAAGAAAAAACAAAGAAACAAAGAAAGTCCTAAATTCTATCCTTCCTTCTCCACGATGCCATGGGTTATGTACTAAACACATGTGCTCACTTGCTTATGAGCAACTAATAGGGGAAGGGATAATGCTTTCTATTTTTAATAAAGATTTGATTCCCTTATTCAACAACAAGCTTTTGAGCTTGATGAAGGAATGATGGGGTGAGGTTACATGCCCTGCAAGAGGCCAAGCTAAGCAGTCACAGCACTATCCATTAATGTAGCTACGTCCCTCGTCCCACCAGGAGCTGGTCAAAAATTTTTCTGTAGAGCATTTTTTTAATTGGAAAATTGGACTCATCCAAAGGAAACTTTTTTTTTTTTTTTCAGTGGGGCAAGAGAGAGCAACATGCGTATACATTGACTCAGCAATGAAAACATTCACTTGGATGTAGGAGATCAAGATTCAGCTCCCTGGTCTGAACTAGGCAGAATGACAACTTAAAACCTATGAATTTCACTTTCAGGAGACTGAACCACCAGCTCTTCTGGGTTTGAATCGAGAGGTCAGTGTTTCTGGTTTTCAGGACATATTTTCCAAGGTGTCCTCCCACATGAAGCAAGCTTGTTTTTAATGCACTAAAACTTTTTATGAGATAGAAAAATAGCTCTCCCTCTAGCTCAGCTGCTGTAATTTCCCTAGGAGCTGCCACTGGTTTAAATCTTTAAAAAATACTGACTTATTAAACAGTTTAAGTTTAGTGTAAAGTTACTAAACTTATAACAATCCAACATTTTTAGTATAGAAAAAAAGATGGTTCAAAACAATTCTCAGCTTTATTATTATTCATTCTGAAATGAGGAGCTATGGGGCAGCCATATAATGAAATGTGTCAGCGTCACACTGCAGAACCTACTTTCTTCAATTACCCAAACTTTTGCTAAGCCAAGATATTAGCAATTCTATTCCAGACAAGTTTGCATGTCATGACTCACCTTCAGAGTTCACAGAAAAATTCAGAAGACCTCCATCTGTCAGCAAGTCCAATGCAAGGTTAACGTTGTGAAGCTGTTCGTGAGAGAGAGAGAGATCAATATAACAGAAAATATTTTCTACCCAACAGTGCAGTGGCCAGCAGGTTGTAAAAAGTATTTCTCTAGTAGCTGAAGATACTGATTCATAAATATGTACTCATATTCATCTCCTTAGTTTTGATGGAGTGCTCTTCAGAATTTCTACCAATTATCATATCAAATCGGATATAAAATCCATCTCCAACAAAACTTATCCCATGAGGTGGGCAGAAGAATCCATTTATTTAAAAATAGACCTTACATGTGAAAGTCTTGCGTTAATGGACTTTTCCACAGGGAAAACAGGCTAGATTAATGGCTGGATCTAATAGATATATGGAATTTATTTCAGGGTTTTTTTTAACAATGCCTATACACTTACTACATCTGGAACAAACAAAAAATACATAAGGAAAAAGTTCTCTAGATTTCACTCAGAATTATGAAGATTGGAAATCTTCCAACCAGCTATATTTGTGAGCTAGAAGTTTATGCTTTAACATATAAAGATATCTATACACAGTAACAGTAGGGATGATATCCTTAATACTACTTGTGAGAAATTAAGCACACATCTATGAACGTAAGCTGGGTTGTTTTATTTTATTTTTCCTCACTTGTTTTTCTCTCCCATCCCAACATAAAAGCAGTATCACACACATAGGCAGTAGTCATGAATGATTTTTTTAAAGTAATACACCATCCCCTTACTAGCTTCTTACAGCTTAAGGGCAGTTGTTTACTTGGCTGGTAATTAGCAAGCTCCCTTCATCTAATGAAGCAACAAGACCTGAACGAACTTCAAATTGTCTCTTTGTACTTTCCTTCAGCTACTGAGCAATTTATCCTTCAGGAGGCACATCATAGATGCTGCCATGCTGACAATAAGCACAGCAGTCCCCCACGCATAAGGCAAGCTAAAACTGTGTGCTCTGAAGTGAAGCGATAGATTTATCTTTTACCCGGTTCCCTGATTTCCAAGTAACTGAGACTGACACTTTGGGTTCAGGCTTGTTTTCTTCCTCTGATAGTCAGCAGCCAGGAGAGCTTAAGCTTATACAGATCTACACAATTTTCTGATTGGAATGAATTAATCAAGTGTTTTCTTAATGAACCAGCATAGGTAACAGGGGTACACTTCCCTCTCTATAACACGTATGAGATTTGAAAGGAACGATAACATGCAAATTTCAAAATAAATCATCAGACAGAAATACTGATAAACACCAAGGAAAGGCAACCTAGAAAATAAAGTCGTTTCATCCAGCTGCACGTCCAGACTCAAAAGAGCTGGACAATTCTCCAGGATTTACAACTGGACAGAAGTCAGGACGTTTTGGGTATTTAATCTCTGGGCCTATTTTGGCAAAAATTCTGAGTTCCCACAGTTGTGATAAGCACAAGGGCCCTCCTTCACCTTCTTCCTTATCTCCTGACCGCATAAAGTTCACTCCTAATTTCAGCCTATTTTGCGATTATATTCTTTGTCTCAGAATACACACCTTTCTATATACATAAGCACCCAGAGCTGGACTTTCTTTACAGTTACTTGTAAACCTCATTTTTTGGTATTTTTTTTATTATAAACACCCAGAAAAACAGCAACAAACCTACCCACATGCAGCATTGTCTTCTGGCACCTGCAGGTGGGTCACCTTCCGAATTTTTCCACCTGCTTTCCTCACCCCTCCTGTCCCTCTAACACAGGCTCCTGCCTTCCCTATTTCTTGTTTCTGTTTCCCCCTCACTATCACTGCTTCCATCCCAATTTTCCGTCCTTGCTATTCATGAGGTGTACGTACCAGCTTTGAACCTCAAGCTTTCCGCTTGAATGAAATTTGATGCACCACACCGATCATAACGGGGCGTGCGGTTGTCACAATTTTTATAACACAAATGACGTGTTTTAAATCTCAGCAAAGGTTACATTTTCATACTGTACTGTACCAATTAATGTCTAAAATGACAGGGAGTTAGAAAGCACAGGGGAATTGAAAGACTTATTTTATGTACAAATGACAGTTGAACTATGGTCGCTCAGTATTTTTAGTTATATTGTCATCCCACTTTTCATCCTGTAATGAACATCAGAGGAGAAACAAATGGTAAATACCACTTTGGCAAACAGTTCAACAATAAGTCCAGTACTTGGAAGTAACTTTGCTAAAATGAAATCACTAAGATGTAGAGAATTATACTGAACCAGTACCCAACCCCATGATATCCTTCTCTGAGGCCAGTGACCAGCACGTGTAGGGTAAGAACTAGAAAGTCTGAGCTCTGATTTGTACCTAAAATGTAGAGATATCTCATTTTTTCAGAGAGATCCATGAGGCTCGATTAAGGCTAATCCAAAAAGAAAAAAGCTATCAATGAAATTTTGAATAAAAAAATATTCATTGACTTCCTCTGAACAGTTACTGGAAACGTTAAAAACTTGTTTCCAAGTCAATGGACCAGAGCAAACAATTTTGAAAACTGAGTGGAGGAGGAGAAAAGTAAGAAAAAACAACTGCAAGGAAATGCTTTGATTTTACTTGATTCAAGCCTTCAAAACATATTGTCCAGTTCATCTTAGATAAAAAAAATCTGAATTTTCCTCATGCTTTTAACAATTGTCAACTGATAGCAATGAATTTTTGACAAAATTTGAACCTAGGTCTCTGACAACTGTGCTTTTAAATGTGTTGATGAAAAGCTCTAGTGGAGTATTTATTAGTTAATACAGGACCTCTGAGATTTTCATTACAAATAAATACTGCCCAGGGAGATTAACGGTGGTGAGGTCAGGAATCGGATGAAAGCCTCGTCTGCGTGGAGAAGCTGGAATGCAAACCATGCCAGAGGAGAGATTCCCTTCTCAGACAGCTCTCAAGCAAAAAGGATCTGACACATTTCACCTTCAGAGATCTAACTGAATATAACCCAGGAAAAATAGCTACAGTTTCAAGATTTTCAGAGCTATTCAGTGACCCAAATGAAAAATCTCTACCCACACCACAGGCAATTTGAAAATATCTCAAATATCCCAAAATATTTCAACATCCTACATCTGGGGAGGAGGCATTTACACCAGCACATGGTACCTTCTGGCTGATGCCAGCTTTTTTTTTAAAAAAAAAAAAAACAACATTGATGAAGTCTGCCTGCTAGAGGTGGAAAAGGGGTGAAGGAAATCTGGCTGGGTAGGTTACAGCTCCCTGCCTCAGGGCAGGAAAAGATGTACATTCTCAAGAGGTTCCTAAGTACAGAGGGGGCCTTCAAAACATTCTGGTCATGTCTTGATTAAGGTATATTTTTAGGACAGCGTAAGGAAACCTATAGGGAACGAGTTCTGCTATGCAAGAGTTGTCATTCACTTAAAAACGCTGTTTGCAGGACGGACTTGCAGAAGATAGTGTATCAATTCCCCACCACACAGAGCCTCTGTATTTCACTGGAAGGATTCAGAACTACGTATCTGCCTACCAAAAGCACATAACAATAGCTTGCACCCCATGAGATAATAATTAATTTTGAAGAATACAGCGACCTCTTCCAAGGTATTTCTACAGCACCGAGTGCGTGCATTTTTACTGTCCCGAGCCACCAACCTGCAAACACTGCGTGCGTAGGACTTCACATGCACCAGCAGCAATAAAAGCAAGAGGCAGAGCTCCTCACTGACATGCAGAAGCATTAAATACACGAGATATTTGAAGCCTCAATCTCTAACTAATTAAATACAAACCTACCATCTCCGTGGCGCTGGATGGAGTCAGGAAGAAATCTCTTAAATTCAGAAAGTAACCCTCCAGTTGTCCAATTAACAGAAGTAAGATAACTCCATCTGCAAACTGGATGAAGAATGTTCTGAGTATTACTTATTATGCTGGCTTTTAGTAAAGTACTCCGATAAATGCCATTCTAGCAATAAAGGAATTTAAATGGTACTCTGGCAAGCAGACAACCTAATGACTCAGCTCCCTCAACCCCTTCTACAGTGAACTTTGTATTTTGTTACATAAGGCTCTCAAGTTCATATTAGCAAAAATACAACCTTGTAAAAGGACAGCTATTAAAACAAACCATTCCAGATGTGAAGAGACTTCAGACGACCGCAAGTGACAAACGTGCAACTATAAATAAAATAAAATTGTGCCTAGTGCCTGAGATTTATGACAAAACATTTGCTAAGCTTCCTTTCTCACAACTGCCCACCAGGAAAACCCAGAAGAGCACCGGAGCGCAGCTCCGCTTTCCATCCACACAGCATAAATCGCAGGCACTGCCACTGCACCGAGGTTTCGAATGCCTGGAGCAAAGCAAGACCTGTGGGCTGACTTCTCCCGCAGTTATTGCACGCGTGTCTCCAGAAGCAGGGAAAGAAAAAGGCAGGAGGGACCTCCCTGAAGTCATTTCCCATCGCTCGCTCGCTGTCCCTGGAGAGGCGTGGGGAGGATGCTGCAGCTCCCCAGCTCCATGAGAGCCGCCGTCTGCCCTCCCCGGAGGCAGCGGCAGTGACAGAGGACAGCGGAGGTGCGGTTGTGCCTCTCTTCACCAGCGCCCAGGGAGGTGATCCCAAGGTGCCTAACGAGCACTTCTCCTGCAACTTCATGGACTTTAAAGGAGCTCAACATCCAGAGGATGGGACTTTGCAATGTAACAAAAATCAGGCCTTCCTACCATGAAGCAAACCCAGCATTAAAAATCACTAAGCACCAGTAATCAACTTGGCTTTCAGTTTAATTGTCAGAACACTTCTATTTCCATCCTGACAGAAAGAGCATCCACAGGAGTCGGGCAGATTCCGAAAGTTACTCCCTGTAGCATTACCAGGGTAGCATTCAATACAAAGCTGTATTTTTTCATTACTTATTACCTTCAGAAACTTCAGAGACTGAAGCCTGATATCTTAACCTGAAGCTAGAAATAATTGTTGTGTTGCCAAGTTTCAAATTGCTACAACGAAAAGGAGGAATTCTAATGGTGAGAGGAAACACTCAAATGGCTGACAAAACATGGTTAACATGAAGCTTAGAGCAGGCTACCTGAGATTCGATGTCTTTCACGCTTAATCCCAATTTTCCAACATGCTGGTTGACAAACTGCAAAAATACCTAAAGAAAACAGAAGAGGAGGAGAGGGGGGAAGAAAAGATCACTTTTTTCTGTGAAGTCATGAATTATGTTTTACCTTACAAATTTTGCTGTTGATTAAAAAAGCAAATTACCTTTTTTACAGCATCCAGTTTATCTGGAGCACGGCTAAATAATTCATCAAAGGCATCATCTTCTGTATCAAAACAACATTAATTGGCATTATTTGCAGTAACTGTCAGATCAGAGGTTTAAAGATCTCCAGAAGGAGAAAGGTGTTCACAGCTTATAAGTCAAGGGGAAAGAGAGTAGTAGGGAGATGGGGGAAAATCCTGCTTTTGTATTTATCAGAGGACAGGGTGACAAGCTTCCCTTCAGCCTGACTACATCAGAGAAAACAATTTACTTCATTCAGCTCCATAATTTTTCTTGCAGAGGTTCTCAAGATTTGTGCTGCCACCAGCTTCAGCAATGTCTGTGTTTCACACCTCTACAGTTTATCTCTTTTCATAGAATCATAGAATGGTTTAGGTTGGAAAGGACCTTAAAGATCATTGAGTTCCAACCCCCCTGCCATGGCAGGGACACCTCCCACTAGACCAGGTTGCCCAAGGCCATGTCCAGCCTGGCCTTGAACACCCAACTTTTCAGTTATGTTGTTTTAACCATCAACCTCTGGGGTAAAATATTTTAAGCAGAGGAGAAGAGCTATACATTTTAGTGCCCTCCCCCAACAGAAAAGTCAGTTACATCAAATTTGCAGAAAAACAGCCCCCTTCCTTCAAAAAACACAAACAAGATACTGGGTTTGGGGACACTGCCCTTTCTCTGAAAATTCACAGACCTCAAAAATGACCAGTGCTGCCATCCAGTTTAAAGGCAGGCACCGAGCCTGCAGCACTGCGCCAGAGAACTAGCACGAGTTTAAAGATTTCCAAGGAAATGAGATCCATCGAAGGCCCTGTGAACGCCCACCCTCACCTCCATTTTCAGCCCAGGTTTAGCGAGGGCGGGATACATCTCCTCATGGTACCGTGGCCACGGAACTGCTCTGGTTCAAGCACGAACAAAGCATTTGAAACACCCTTAAAAATCAAGGGCACTGTGGCAGCATAACTAAGTGGCGAACCGGTTTCTACGCTGCAGGGAAGCAAAGGCAGCTTTGCTTAAGGAAGAGTCCTCCCAAAAGCCAGTGACAGAGAGGCCTCCGCTGCAAAAGGGTTTCCTCGGGCTTCTCCGTTCTCCCTGTTTAGGGGGTTGCTGCAGGAGCAAAGTCAGGGAAGGGGCGAATCCACCAAATAAATCACTGAGCACCAGTTTGAAGCCTGCAATGGTCTCGCAAACTAGAGAGCCCTCTTCTGGAGCCACACTTTGGGATTTCTCTCTTTGAAAGCAGGCTGTGTCAAAAATAGAGAGCAAGCGAGCATTTTAAAGAGTGAATTACAGACTTCTCTTTCCAGCAGGATCAGCCCACTGGAAGAAAATACCTAATTACAGGGTTGTGGGTTTTTTCACAATTTCAGCCCACACTAGAGGCCACTCAGTGGAATAAGTGATAAATATGTATTAAATTATACAGTTTGCACCTCTGCAAAGGATGAAAACTCTAACATAAAGGGCACAGCAGAGAATTAAAATGGTTGCGTTGATTCACTGGGAATGCAATGTGCTCCTTTGCGACAAGGAAGAGCAGCTCCCACAGAAGCCTCAGCAGTGCCCGGACCTTCTGCAGGCTCTGCACACATGGACATTTTTCACCTCAAGTGTTTCACAGCCCTCAAAAGCCCTAAGGGTATAAGACCTCGGGGGACACTGGTTTTACTGAGCTACTGTCCATAACCGAGCACCAGTAGATTTCAAAATCTCATTTGCAAACTGCAGAAATGAAACTACATTGAAACTGGTAAGCCCAATTCTCAAGCCATTATGGTCATAAATAGTTCCAGCGATGAATGAGGTCAACACGTAAATCCAAGACATACTTTGTCCCTCAGCCAGGTCTTCTCTGTCAGGTTATCAACCCACTGTATCATTTCTTGTCTCACCTCCCATTTGTTGCCTGTAGTCCACAGGCAAAGTGACCACCCAATTTCCAAACTATATTGTGCTGATACGAACACACCTTAACAGAAGACATTTGGAGAAAAACACTAGGGGAAATACATGAATCTCCATTAACTCCAGAGGGAGCGTACTGGTATCATGAGGTAGAAATGGATCAGAATGTGGTGTATAACACCACATAATAGCGAAATACTGAACTTGGCAAGGCCAGTACTTGCTTGACTGCGCTTCTAAATTCTCTCTAAAAGTGCAATAAAAAAAAAAAGAATTAGAAAAAGCATTCAGCAGAACTAATCTTATTCATAAGCAATGCTTACCTGGGCCATCAGCTGTCCTGTAAAGTAGGAGATAAAGTTAATGGCACTTTGTACAGAGTAACTTTCCAACAGACATTTTTAAGTACACTGTATATCTGTATAGGCTCTTGGAAGTATATGAAATTTTAAGTGGCCCACAAACTGATGAACCTTGGTTTTATAAGCACAATCCATAATATCCTCTTCCAATAAGCTGCTCATGATATTAGAATTTGAAGATGTTCTAGCATATAAAAGATGATAGTAGGAAAATCTGTTTCTAGTGCTTGGGATGATGTCCATATTTTCTCAGTTTATAAATGGTATCCTACTACTTAACTCCTTTAATAATGACAGTGCCTCACAAATTCAGCAAGCTCAAACTGAAGAACTGCCTCCTTTCTCTTTATTTAATGACACAAGAGCAATAAATTAACAGTGGGTTGAAACCACTTCAGCTCTAAAAAATTTCCAGTTTAGTCTGAGACTAAATCTACAGTAAATTTACAGTCTGAGGTAAATTCATAGTACTGGGTTTTTGTTATTATATTTTTTGCTATATTCCATGGCAATGACAAACACTAAGCCTTGGAAATTATTTTAGAGAAGTTTATATAAAGAATAAAGCAGAAGGGCATTATACCATAATAAGCAATCTGGAGAAGGGGGGGGATAAAAAAAAAAAGGGGAAACAAATCAGAGAAACTGTTCAGATGCATATGCATGGCTGGGTTTACACTTTTTGTCATCATCATGATCCCAGCTATTTTTTCTAAGGGGGAAAACACCCACAATATTTCCTTTCTGATTGACAGTGTAAAAACCAGCTATATGCCCTCTTACTTGTTTTCTGTAATATATTCCACCGCACTTGCTGTCTTTAATCCTCTGGAGGTGTTCTGTTAAAAAGACAATAAATTTTTTTGGTTTTGTTACACACACAAAAAAAACCAGCTGAAAGCATTAATGAGGCTTTCATGAACTGTTTGCTGCTTCAAATGATTACCAGAGGGCATTTATTCAAGAAGTCCAGTACAATTAGAACAGGCACTTTGAGACGTGGCTGCTCCTTTCTGGTCTCTTCACTCTCCAACCAAAAATTACCTAATTCCCCACCAGAGGAAGCCAAAAGAGAAGCACCTGGTCCCTCGGCTGGTGAAGTTCAGAGGCTGGCACGTTCGCCTGGAGACTTGATGAATGCAGCAACCTGCTCTCGCAGGCAGTGATTTCCTGCGCACCTCACTGCATTAAGGACTCTTCAGTTTTACAGCACTGGAGGTGGCCACCTCTGCCTTATAATAACCTCACGCCATGGCCTGCCACCCATCGATGAACCTTAAGATTCAGATCTGGTAAGTTGCTTAGGTTTAGGCTGGCAATTCGTACTATTTCTGAAGCCACCTGGGACCTTTGCTTATGTCCTTGTATCTTCATTCCTCTATATAAATCTTAGTACTCCACAAAACATCAAAAAACTGACAGTCTGAAGAGATAGGAGAGGATGGGCATGCCTGCCACTTTATTCAGGCACCATGCAAACATCTCTTATCACAGAAAAGTCTTTGGTATTTGCTGTTCTCCCCTTTTAGGCAGTGAAAAACACCCTCTGTTTGCATACTGAATCAACTCCTTTAGGTCAACTCATCGCCGAAGAGGAGTACACCCAGCCCCACTGGGACAACAAAGTCCGGTCCCTCCTGCAGGTACCTGTTGCAGAAAGGCCAGGCCATCTCTGGTCTCCTTTGGGTTTCCTCAACATTTCCCCCTTCCTGCCCTCGACCCCTCTTCTGAGCTGTGCCTTCAATGGCTTTCCTCACTTTTGACCTGACGATTACTGTTCCCATCAGAGGCACTGATTTCTCCCACGAAATCAGCTCACCACCACAATCCCATTACCTCCATTGCCACTCCTCTCTCTCTCAGGGTGAACAACCCTTTCCAATGCTGCTGTTTCACAGATAATCCCTCCCAGTTTCTGCGCAGCTGAGGCACTCACGGCCCCATAAGGCACTAGATGGAGGGTGGCTTTCTTCAGAGTCTGGGTTGTCACTGATCAGACCCACATGACAGGAGCATGGGCAGCAATGCACAATTTGGACTCCCATTAGATACCGGAGAGACCACTCCTCTGCTGAAAGTGCTAGGCTGGGATGGGGCCACAACAGCTACCTTTGCAGAACCAAGCCCCAGAAGAAGCTGTCCCTCCAGGACACTTTTAAACCTCCTAAAGTGACACGCATAGCTCAAGGGCATGCTTCGTTTCAGCTCCAGTTATGATGCTCCAAAGAGAGAAGAGCACTAGGTCATGCTGTACAGACCATGTGCTGGGCTCCCAACACCACTGAATTGCAAACAACTGTAACACAGTGGTGCTAATTTTTCCAATTTTATCCCCAAATGTGGGATATTCGATGTTCTCCTAAAGTCCCAAAGTTGACTTTAAGAAACAAAATAGAGGAAGAAGGCATGTAGATCTCAGCTTGTAAAGAGAAATACTAATATGTCACCCCAAAGGAAGGGGAGTAAAAACTCCCTTCCCCTAAAGAAATAAATCCTCATCATTAAATCAGTGTCACAATTTATGAGTGCAGGCTTCTATTTTAAAACACTTAAGAGACAGTAACAGCAGAATTTCTTCTTTTTCTTCTTTGCAGGGATCAACAGCTGTTTTCAGCTGGGACCATTCCTTTTTTTGATCAAGGAGAAAAAACAGCACAGAATCATAGAATTGTCTAAGTTGGAAGGGAACTTTAAAATCATCAAGTCCAACCATCAACCCAACACGGAATCACGGAATTTTCAGAGCTGGAAGGGACCTCTAGAGATCATCTAGTCCAACTCCCCTGCTAAAGCAGGATTGCCCAGAGCACATTACTCAGGACTGCATCCAGGCGGGTCTTGAAAATCTCCAGAGAAGGGGACTCCACACCCTCCCTGGGCAGCCTGTGCCAGTGCTCTGTCACCCCAACCATAAAGAAGAGCACTGCCAAAACCCACCACTAAACCACGTCCCTAAGCATCACGTCTAACCATCTTTTAAATACCTCCAGGGATGGCAACTCATCCACTTCCCCGGGCAGCCTGTTCCAATGCTTGATAACCCCTTCTGTGAAGAACTGTTCCCTAATATCCAATCTAAACCTAACCTGGCGTAACTTGAGGCCATTTCCTCTTGTCCTGTCGCTTGTTACTAGCCAGAAGAGGTCAACCCCCACCTCTCTACAACCTCCCTTCAGGTAGTTGTAGAGAGCGATAAGGTCTCCCCTCAGCCTCCTTTTCTCCAGGCTAAACAATCCCAGTTCCCTCAGCCACTCCTCATAGATCTTGTTCTCCAGACCCCTCACCAGCTTTGTTGTATTCTGGACACACACCAGCACCTCTATGTCTTTCTTGTAGTGAGGGGTCCAAAACTGAACACAGTACTCAAGGTGGGGCCTCACCAATGCAGAGTACAGGGGAATGATCACTTCCCTTGTCCTGCTGGTCACACTGTTCATGATACAGGACAGGATGTTGTTGGCCTTTTTGGCCACCTGGGCACACTGCCGGCTCATATTCAGCCAACTGTCAACCAATACCCCCAGGTGCTTCTCCACCAGGCAGCTTTCCAGCCACCCTTCCCCAAGCCTGTAGCACTGCATCGG